AGCACCTATTTCACTTCTGAAGCAGGTTGTTACACACAGCACAGTTCACACAACATATAATCCAATATTTCTGTAATATGTCCACAGTATTACACAATTCAGAATAATCCCAGGTCTCCAGGAGTGTGGAACATTTCATGTATCCTTTTCAGTGGTATGTCTTGTTACACTTCATCCAAAAACAGTGTAATTCTGAATCAGAATCCTCATATGAACTGTTCAACAACAGGTCACAAAGTTCATAGGTTATCTCGGTGCAGTTCACAAGAGGTATGAATGATGTCCAAATATGAATTTTCAAATAAATATTTCCAAACAAGATTTCTATTTCTCATTGCACTAGATATAAATCTACAATATTCTAAATTTGTTCTATATTAAATCATTTTTTTTAAAAAGAACCGTATTTGACCATATATTTGTTGGGTGTGCCGATACAATGTCACAGTGGACCAGAGCAATATATCTACCAACAAAGTGACAAGTATTTTACCTGGTCGGTAAAGTATCAATCCAGCCTTTGTTTGAATCCACCTTACAAACTGCCTGTAGTCACAAAATCTATTGCATTGAATTCAAATAAAACAAATATATTTCTTTCCAGTTTTTCCTTTGCCTATACCTGTAAGGAAAACCAGTAGTGAAACTTAAGGTATAAAAAAATTCTCTAAAACAATTTCTGGAGTTCCTATCAGCTGATTCTGAACACCCACAGACATTCAGGAAAGAAAACTTCAATCAAGGCAAAACCTAGAGGCTAACACCAACAAAAGTTTGTATGAAATCTTAAAGCATTAAAAACCTTTAACATTCCTACCTTTAAAACCAATCAAAGTCCCGAAAGTTGTAGAAATCATAGCATCACCTAGAAAAGTGGCCAAAACTGGATCGAAACATCTCCCCTCGAAAAAGCAAGCGTGGAGTAGCACAGACTGGCTGGTCTTGTAGCGATGTAATTTGACATACTGCTGTCACAATACATAAAATTACTGTAGGGGACTCCTATGTTACACTGAAGTCTGGCTTTGTTTGTCAGTGTGCCATACAGATGTAGACAACACATGTGTTTGTTATATATCATCAACTTCTGTTATTGTTAGGTACAGAAGTAGATGTATAAATATTGTCTATCATTAGAAACAACACACAGACTATACATTATAAGACGATATAAAATAAGACTAGAGAATCATTAGGGTTTGGTCCTTAACTTGTTCACCAATCTTTCTAATATCATCTTAGTCATCAAATAACAGTACTGCTACACTTTTCAACAAAAACTTTTCTACTATCATTTATAACCACAGACTTTTTTAAAATTCGGGAAAAAATCCAAAGGGAAGTAACTCTTGACAAAAATAATTTGCTGATAAATGAACACTAGTACATATTGTTTTTCTACATTACTCATGAATTGTTTCTTGTCCTATTGTCTAAAAACAACACATTGTTTTCTTATTTCTAGTGTCTTTATCCTCAAGGACAAGCTAGGCAGACTAACTTTCAAACATTGTATAAAGCTTTTAAATTGTTCTTCCATCTTACTGTAACAAAGATATTTTCAGTCCACACAAAATCCCCACATCACTATGAGAACCCTATGACGTAGTCAATGACAACTTCTCAGAGAGAAAATGAACAGAATTGAAAATAATTAAGACATTAACACAACTTTCAGCGTCAGTTTGTGAGAAAAGTGATCCACTTACTGTCACGTTCATTATCACTCGGAATACTGATGTAACCAAACCTTAAACAACACTTCACTGTTTCTTGTCAAATGACAGTTGTCAGTGAATGAGCGGGCTACAAAGAACTGGTTATGATAGGATTCTACAGTCTCCTGACAATGACTTGCTTGGAAGATAATTTCAAAACAAATTACTTACTCTTGAACATTTGAAAGTTCATTCATAGCAAAAGTATACCAACTTGTCTGTTCTTTAGACAAAATCTCTTTACCACCATGGTAACCAACACTTTAGATTCTCATATACAGTCTACCAAACAAAATTAAATCAAAGTTCTTCGAGTCCTTTTAATTAAAAGACTAAAATTCTCCAAACAGAAATCTTAAAATCCTGGAACCTGAAGGATTCTTATGCAACTGCTTCAAATCAATTCAAGATGGTAGAAACACTGCAGACATTTGACACCTCTGATGACCAGGATGTAGGACACAAACCTAATAAGCCATCTCCAAGGAATTCTTCAGTTGTCAATTTGGTTCCTAATTTCCTCACAAGACCTCACTACCACACCCAAATCTAAGGCAACAATAATTAGTCTTCTAAGCTAAAAATCAATACAATTTGTGTGGCTGATTTGTTCTACATGTTTCTCTGTCAGTATATCTTACATTCCATCCCGAAACCAAATTTAACAAACTATCAGCTTGAATAATCTTTTGCAGTCTCAGTTGTTGTCATATCATATTTCCACTTCAAGAATGCTATAATATTTTGAATAAATTAAAAGTTCATCATCGTTTGAACAGATACATGTAAAGAAATATACACTCGATCATTTTGAAATCAGCATTGTATGAAAACTTTCTTTAGAGAATATTCCTGTCAAAATTCAAAACCAAAATAAATTTTTAACTAAAATCAATATTTGAAGTCAAAGAGTAAAATCCAACTTTACATCCATAGTCACTAATCAAATGTTACATCCAAGTTATTGTAGCCATTCCTTAGTGTAACCAAGCACTTCCATCAAGTTCATCATCACATACACTGAAAGGCTCTCACAGAGTACACAGATACAAAGCCCAGTTATACTGTTGGAATGCTGGTAAGTAGTTTACAAGCCTTGGTTAGAAATGAGAATCAGTTATCTCCATTTTCAGCAGACCAAAACCTGATTATGTTTTGTCCGACATCCTAACAATGAGCTGTGTTATACAAGACTTCAATACAAATACACAGACCTGCTAATAGGCTCAATGTAACAAAGACATTTAAAATCTGTCCAATTGAGAACCAGTTTCATCTAAACAAAAATACCAGTCATGTCAGAGGAGATTCTACGAGCCATAAATCGGAGAAAATATCAGGACATTTATCTGTGAAGTGGTATCTAAATGAGGGTGCCATTTTGTAACTGAGGGTGATTTGTAAACAAATGATGGGACTAATATTGTTATATACATAGTATTATCTGATGCACATTCTAAACACTGATGGAGACCAGGCGGTATTCATTACCATGGAGCAGGACTATGCTGATCTAGTGAGAAAAACACAGAGATGTCAATCTAAAAATTCTTATCTCCCTTTTTCCAGGACAGTGACCTCATTCTGATGAGTTATCTCCCCTGGATTTTCATGAAACATTGGCCTTTCACAAACTTTCACTTGAAGTTCATCTACTTATACTAATTGTCTGAATGTAGACATGAAATATGAGCATTCAAAAGAATTATCTCCCCTTTCATTATAAATCACATAATTCTAACTTGACATAAAATATTAGAAATACAATGAATAATACAGAAAGATTACCCAAGATAATTCTGGCATTTTGCCAACAGGAAAATGTGCCCATCTACATTATCGCTTTAATGATTGGTTGTCATTTTGATAGGAAATCCTGAAGTTAATGATCCCAGGAAAATGTAGAATAACACTATTATGCCTCCTCAAATTGTATCATCAGTGATGCAACTAATTTCCCTGCTGTTGACACAATAGCATTTTTGAAATCTTGACTGACTAAGCTTATGTGGTTTTCACAGCTTGAAAAAAGTATAATGAAGCTTTATGTATGGAATCAGTAATTTTCCAACCTCAGAGATAAATGTTTCAATTTATAAGAAAAACAAAGTGTGATAAAGTTTCTTTTTGATTAAAAAAAATTTAACTTTAAATGCCTCGTTTGTTAAGTTGAAGCAGAATAGACAATTATGAAGACCTTGTAGATTTTGATCTACCCAGTAGTAACAGTTGCTGTACATCAGTGAAGCAATGCTGTACACAGAATCAACTTCCTAGTGTTGCTAAGGAAATTAGAATTCACCATGACAACAAGATCGTAAACCCGATACAAACACTACTATAATACAGCAATTTTCCCTCAATAAAACATGTTTTGAATATCAAACAAATATTTGTAAAATCCATATGCCCAAGCATTTTAAATTTTCACTGATGCATGAAAGTCTTCAGTTTCAAGACAAAGCTATTTAAAGTCCCAAATTATCAAATTTATATTTCCAATAAAGTTATCGGTGCAGTTTTCTGGTGCAGATGAAGCTTGATACAAATGGCTCTAGTACAGTTCACATTATATAACGTACATGTTGCAGTGCCCTATCAAAACACGCACGCCCAGACACCAATACTCTGGCATTAGTCAATTATCAACTACTACCAGCCTCAGAGGTAATGCTTTGTTTGAAGCGTAAGAAAATCTAAAGAAAATTTCATAATAGAATTTCTGTGAGAACAAATACAATAAAAGTCTGGCTCCTCAGCCATTTTCATAACGCACTGATGGTCACAGCTAGGATAGCAGGCAGTAGGTGCACAGAGGTCATTCAAATCATTCTGGACTTACTTTTAAGTAATTTTTTTTATGTGTGGTTTTTTTGGTCACTGAAGTCTTGTGATTTGCTAATCTTTTAGGAAATAGGTTTGATGTTTGATATCATGTTTTAAGTCGTAATTTTCTTGGATATGTAGAATGTGTGTTCTTTTTTTTAACAACATACCAAATACTACTAATAATACAAAATATTTGGCCCAAAACAAACACATCAGCCTTTTCAGCACATTTTCTTCAAGTTGGTAATGTGAATAGCATTGAACTTCTATTCCATATAAATTCTATCAGCTACTCATTACATTCTTTGAAAATTAGGAAAAAGGAATCTAATTATTTTAGATTTTCAAATAATCAGATACACAAGACACTAAAACACCAAAACCTGTTACTGATATATTGTTTGGTTTGGCCTCATATTGTGATAATTATTTTATCTGTTATAACCGGCTTACCTGTCATCTCCTTCCAGTGATGATTCTCCTGAAGGTGACATGACCTCTGGTGGTGGTGCTGGAAGGTCAAGGTCATGAATGGCTGCCAATTCCTCTGGATTTTTGACGGGTGTTGGAGGAGGTGGCAATTCTGGACTACACAGTTGCATTGGTGGAGAATAATTTTGACTAGCATTTTTGGGGACATTTGAATTGTCTTTTGGAGGGGTCACATGCAGGGCCAAGGACACAGGTGTTGAAATGTGTGACACAGATGACCTCGGTGATGACTGTTGTAAAGGACTGGCATGACTACTTGTCATCGTTTGATTGGGTGATGAAGCCTGCGATGTAAGTATATGATTGGTGGTGGAAGCGTAAGTCATTTGGTGAGGTGGGATGCTACCAACTGAAGATGTTAGTGATGACCCTGTTGTCGGGGAAGTGGCTTCCTGTGGCTCCAAGGAGGACCGTTTCTGTGACTGTGAACAGTGGGTCACAGGCCGTGAGGAAACTACACTCATTGTTGTTGGTTTTAAGTTCTGTTGTTCAGAAAACCTCCGGTACTGTATCCGTAGTTGCTGTGCATAGCTATCCGGAGAACTCTCCCTTGGTTTACGTGTCTGTATTTCAGGAGCACCGCGCTGCACAGGCTCCAAATAACCACTGGTACGTGATGCATGACTAGTGTTCTCCAGCTGACCCGTAGAGGCATGGCGGTAGTTTCTCGGGGGTAGGGCTGGGGGTTTGTCATCCTCCACTGGGGGTGGGGGTGGAGGACGTCTGTATCCAACATTTGCATAATCCAGACTGCTTCCGGACAAAGACCCTCCAGTGCTACAAGTACACAACAAAAACACAGGTAAATGAACAGGTTTTTATAAACAAAAACACAGGTAAACAAACAGGATTTCATCAACAAAAACACAGGTAAACGAACAGGATTTAATCAACAAAAACACAGGTAAACGAACAGGATTTTATAAGCAAAATCAAGGTGATCATACAGGTTTTGTATATGAATATACCAGTGGAAAACAATGTTTAATTTTCCTTCCACAGACTAAATACACTTTTTATACATGAGATCAGAATCACTCCATTATTTTGAATACAAACTAATTTTTTAATCAATTTAGAGCTATCACAGATTTGGCAAATTTATTTGGAAGATAAAAAAGTAAACATCAGGAGGCAAGAAATTATACCTAGTTTACTGTTATTTCTAAATATAAACATGGCTGTGAGGCACTGCAGTGCAGTCCTTTAAATAATATGATAGGAAGGCAACAAGAGTTACTTCCCTTATATCAAGAGAAACTATGCATGTTAACTTTGCTAATACATCTCTCTAGTACAGCTGTTCCGATTCATGAGATGTATAATTCATTTCATACAAATGCTTTCTCAGGAGAGTCAGTCATGCTTTCAATCATTTTAATCAGAAAGTAAAAATCTAATTTCCTTCCAAAAAATAAAGCTATGACTACAGTTTCCTTGAGAAAACACAACAGATTAGATTTGTGAAATTTATACCCTGGAGACAGTGCTTTGTAATAGAAAGAAGATTGACACATTCATTCTTCCGTAAATGTAAATTCCGGAAGAGGTTTTTATTTCATTGCAATCACATCAGTCAAAATATTTGATAGAGACCCAGACATGGTCGCTCGCCTCCCCTTAATCACCAATTTGTATCACCTCCGGCGATTGAACGAGAAACACAATTTGGTGACAATTCCACACGGATTGTCCTGTAATGACTTGGTATGAGTCAGTGTTTAGTAACAGGACTGACACTGTTGCTCATTTTTGGAGAAATAATTTGTCCTGATGAGGTTATAGGCGACTAGTCTTCCTACTCCGTAACTGATTAAAGTGTCTACCGATGATATCAGCAACAATTTGGAGAAACTTGAGTCAGACATTTTACTACATCTATAAAAGGAATTCTGTTACTCTGTTATCATCAATATTACTGTCTTCTGAGACAAGTCTCTGCTGGGTTTTTTTCTACACCCTTTAAATGTAAACATTATAGCTAAATAAGAAATATCGTTTATCATGTTGTGATCAATTGTTTTTATTTTACATTTCTTCTGAATATTCATATTCAAAACGTGTGTAAGAACAATATTTGATTTAAGTGATTTTCAGAGTGGGTCATGCATATTCAAATAACTTTTTATTTAATATGAACATGTAGAATATGATAATATAAGTATATGTTTTTATAAATCAACATAATCAAGACAAGCATGGCTGGTTTAACTCCGGACATCCACATTACCTTGTTAGTATTTCAATCATACTGATGACCAAAGGTAAGATTAATCCAGACACTGTTAGTAACAAGTTATAGGTCCTTAATCTTCACAATAACATCATCCTGTATGTCCAAACATATATTTAAAACACTGATCCCGTATGTAATTATGGATATTCATAACCATACAAACATCTACATCCTTCAAACTAGAGATAATAATACTATATCAAAATACAAGCTGTACATGTATTGAACAAAACAATGGAATTCCCAGGACAGTTAATATCTAAAAATACCATCCTACTTAATACTGATGATGTCACTAGTCAGGTCCTTAGACATATGTACGTAAGTAAGTTACACAAGACTTTACAGGTAAGAAAATCTTACGGTCACTTTTCTATTGTTCTGTGACAGCCAATGACATCAGCTATACAGTGACAGTTACAAGTACGTCAATGATTCCCGTAAAAATCTTACACCATCTCTAATATATCACACCCATGACATTACTTATCATGGTGTTCGGCTTCTTTGTGGATGATCTCATTCCTATTGTAATATTTTTCTGTTATATTTATATAAATATCTCCACGAAATAGTGTCACCATTTATATGTTTCAAACTTGTAAATTTACATATCAGTTTCAATATTCATGTAAATCAAGAATTCCTGCATTCTTAAATGTGAATGATGAATATTCCGGACACCGGAAATCAACTTGTAAATAATTTATGACGTTTATTTCTCGGGTAATTGATTGAACATGTGTATAGACATTATTAGTGACAGTTTGTCACGCGATATATTCCATGACAAAATGTTAAGAATTCAGAACGATTCATCTATCTTACTCACGTCTATTATCAAATGTACAATACTTTAAAATGTTGACTGATTTGATTAAGTTAACGTGAATACCAGAGGTGTTACAATATACCTATCCAACATTCCCAGGCAGAACCACTGGCCGACTTCTGTAGACTAACTTATCCCTGAGGTAAACAAAATAAATAGTGGTATTCAGCGCGTGTTTTTATAAACAAATCTTATCATATCTTCAGAACAGTAGAAAACAAAACAAAGAAAAATCTGACCCACTATGAATGGTGACAAAAAAAATAAAGGAGAAATGTGACCCACTTCATCATGCCTAAAGAAAGTAGGTCACTTTTGTAAGTATTCTGAACATACCTGTCCTAAAGCAAACCCTTTAGTCTGTCTGGCTACCACAAAGTGCTAGTAAATTTACCACCTTTGACAATATAAATTAACAAATAGGTAGTATTCCTACATGGTACAACTCACCTGTCTGAGCGCGGCATACGGCACACACTACTGAAGGCTTGTGAAATATATTTGTACCTCAAAACTGCTAAGTTCCTATTTATAGAAACTGTAATTATCCTGTTAATCACTCTATAATTGACTCTACCAATAAATCTGTTCTTTTAGATAGTTTCCAGCCAAGGATGTCAAAGCCATCTTCCTGTGTTGGAACTATACCAATTATTTTCCTTTCTTCGTCTGTAAAGCACACTATGTAAAATTACGATCATACCACCATGTAGAAAACGAAATCTTCCCATTTCAAGACCACCAGCTAAAACCATAAATCTAGTGAAACTTGGCATTGATTTCCATGATGTATGTCACTTTTCAGCTAACACCTAAAAATATGGGTCCAAGGGCTACTGTACTCGACTTTTAAATTCAAGATGACCCCCTCACTCATGTACACCCAAATATATTTGGATGTATCTGAAATAGTTTTTTCACCATCTGGTTTCAATTTACTCGGCAGAAAATGTTTGACATGTTGGTATCTGTATCTTTATCTATTATTTTCTCAGGAAATATCAAATAAAAACATCACCTACTGACCTTGTCAGAAGATGAAATTTCTTGGTTTTGTTCATCCTAATGAAATTACAGTTTTGACATAATAACGTTTTTACACAATGATGTACCATATGTCTCTTTCTGAGACTATTTTTATCAGAATTCAATATCATATATATGTAATTAGATATTAAAGTTAACATAAATTACCTATTTAAAAAAAACATCAAATCAAACTTTTCATGTTAAATATTACTTAAACAACATGCAAACCAGAACATTAAGGGTAGAACTTGATCTGAAAATAAACACAAATATCTGCTTTATCAAGTGTCTTTACTTATGTGTACTTTAGGGTGCAATACTGAGTATACTAAATTACTCCTAAGACTGTTACCCGATCTGGTGAAATTGTGATCCAAACAGGAAACAGCAATAGAGAGAGAATTTTCCTACACTTAACATAGCTTATCTGTGTAAGTAATTCTAGGTATCTATAAGACAACACTATCACGTTTTCTTCACTTCCATCCCAAGTGTTTCCGATGACCTCTATATCAACCGTGGGAGACCTAAGTCTTTCCAAATGCTTAAACACTGTCAATCAACGATCTGACACACTACAATAAGTAAATACAGGGGACTGTGATTTACCAAATATCCTACCTACTTCTATCCTGTAATAAGTCCAGCCTACCAATACAATAACGCCTGACCTTGAGTCACGGGCGGACTTAATACAAGACAATGAAATATCTGGTCGAACCTCGTTATATCAAAGTCAGCAGGACTGTGGCAAAACTTTGAGTTATCGAAGTATCCAATTCAAATTAGTTTGAATGTTTAGTGTGACATTTGACTGACAAAATACTTCAAATTAAACAAAGCCTTAGAGTTATACGAGTTTGAGATAACAAGGTTTCACTGTAGTATTATATATATTATGGATGGGCTTATTACTAAACAAAAAACCAGTGCAAGCATTGATACCATGAATTCTTCTGACATTCCTACTATTTCGGATCAGAACTAACGCCAGAACTATTGAGGCGGAAGAGAAGTTTGATTTTCCTGTTTCACTTCTCTGCATGAGAACAGCTGTACCATAAATACCCTCCCACTGAACCAAATACTTCCTTATGTATTTCTCATATACCAATCAGAAATTTGTCAACACTTCGTAGAAATGAAACAATTACAACATTATCTTCCAAAGCGTTATAGTTACAATTAAAAAACTAAAATCCTGGATAAAATCAGAAATGCCCGTAAAAGATCAAAAGTACAAACATTTTTCTTGGTTTTTAGAATCTTGCAGACAAAAATGATCGAATAATCCATAAAAGGTCTCCTTTGTAATACCAGTCCTTAGAGAAAATAAATTTGTTTATAACATAATGTTCAGCCCTTTAGCAATGCATGTTCAACAAATAACAGTGAACACATTGTTGCTCCTTGGTCCACACCCATGTGAAATATTGAAGTCAATATGCATTTTCTAATTCCTCTGCATATCCATATTTTGAATCCACACAATAGCTATATTGTCACCAAGAAAGTCTCATCAAGTGATATTTTGATAAAATCAATTTGTGTTGTTTGTGGTGAGCGGTCTTCGTGTAAAGTAATCTGAATTTGGTTCAACCATGCATAATAAGGCCACTTGACTATCGGCACAAACAGGTGAGAACATTTATTACTTCTTTATACTTTATATTTGATCTA